TGGAGGAAGGTTTGAAGCCCTCAGCCACCCAGGTTGGCTGGGTATCCCAGTCAAGTGCAAAGCAATATTCAATCAGATTTCAGCATGAACTATCTCCCACTTCATGCATACCTTAAGGAATGAAAGCAAACGGGCTTTATTGCTTGTACATCCTTTCTGGTATATGAGGGAAGAAGATGCAGAAGTAATAAAGTCACTGTAACGGGCTTTCTGTTTCGTTTTGGTTCCTTTAGCTGAACTGCCAACTCAAGTGGAGTCATAACTCTTCTCCCCCCACTGCCACGTTTCAGCCCTGCATCCCAGTTTTGGGGAGATGACAATTAAGTTCTTGCGAACCAGTATTAAAATTGCCTGGTATTCTTGAGTTCACTTATTGTAACTCTGAACTGAGGCTCCTGCAGGTGCCCAGTTCATTGAATGCGCAGTTGTGTCTAAAATCATTTTGAGTGCCGTGAGCTTCCTTAGAGAGAACAATTGGAGGAAAACAGGCAATACCTGCCAGTCTTCAACGCCGCTATACGTTTCCTGCCTTGTCAAAGTTGTATAATGAAGCAAGTCTGGCCTTAGACAGTAAGGAAGTCCCAAGAGGGCCACTGTGTTCAAAAGGGGGAGGGGAGGGGAGTTCATGTCACAGCAGCTGAAACAAAAAGACCAAACATTGCAGGCAGTGGCCATCAAAAGTGATAGCTCTAGGTAAGTGCATAATCCGTTCTTTGGCCACAATGCAACAGAGTCCTTTTTTAAAAGAAAGAAAGGGGGAAAAAGAAAAGCTGAAATTCACCTTCAGATGCAACTGGGCAAACCAAGGCAGTTTAAGCTATACCATAGGTTAAAAAAAAATTCTTAACCTAGGCAGTTATTATGAGAGAGTGTTGTTCTACGTGGTGGTATCCAGATAAGGCATTTCACTGTATCGAATCTGTGAAAGTGTTCGCTTCAATGCAACAGAGTCCTTTTTTAAAAGAAAGAAGGGGAAAAAGAAAAGCTGAAATTCTGTGCCATGTTGGGGTGGGTATGGAATAGGACTGAATCCAGATCCCTCCTGAGCAGCTGATCGGCAAGATTTCTTTCCTTTTGTTTTGTTTCCCAGTCCAGGCTTTTGGATTGGGCTGGGGAGATTATGCGTATAGCACGTATACACCCTTTGTATCCATACAAATAGTCCCTTGCTGGATTAGTGGAGGATGCCGATGTTGTACATAGCACTAATGAGCAGATAAATGGTGCAAGGAAGATGTTTTCTCAGTCTCTCTAGGCAGTCTTCAACAGTGGTACAGCATCTTGCCTAAATTGCTATGCAGATGCTGACATTCTTCCATTACCTCCAGCCCTCTGTTTATTATTTTGTATCCTTATGCCCTGTCTTCCGCTCAGTCTTTCGTCTACAAGACACTTGCATAAAAACATTTAAAGATAATAATAAAAAAAGAGCCGTCTAAATCAATTTGACCATAGACCTGGTTGAAATGAGCCTTCCCCCTCTTTCCAAAGGCGAAAAAGGAGACAGCAGTGTATGTCTCAAGGGGAAATGCATTCCACAAGCGGGGGCCACCATTGGAAAGGCCCTGCTCGCTCATGATAGCAACCTCAGTATGGCTTAGGGAAGCACCCTGGAGCAGTCTTGCATAGTGATTACAAATGCCTAAGGATGTTTGTACAGAAAGAGGCAATTTCTTAAGGTTCCCCCAGCTGGCTGGAGCCTTCTGAACCATGAATTAGCTCAAGTAAACTGGCAGCCACTGCAGGTCTGTCAGCATTGATGTCATGACATCTTCACAGCCTGGCACCCACTCGTTCTGTACTTTATGTTAGAGACACTTTAGGCCACCTGCACTTTTGGACTATCTTTGGGGGGGGGTAGTCCTGCATAGACTGTGCTGGAGTGTTCTGTTGTGGATGGGACTATAGTGTGTATGCGAGATGCTTCACTTCCAGGAAAGGATGCAGCAGGGTGCCTCATACACCTTCAGATGCAGCTGGGCAACCCAAGGCAGTTTAAGCTATATCATAGGTCAACAAAAATGTCTAACCTAGGCAGTTATTACGGGAGAGTGTTGTTCTATGTGGTGGTATCCAGATAAGGCATTTTACTCTATCGAATCTGTGAAAGTGTTCGCTTCAAAGCACGTAGAGAACTTTGGAACGAGTTGTGGCCGCACTGTTTGCATCCCTGCTATGTACATAGAAGTTTTCCAACACTTGAACCAATTCCATTTTGCATTGCCAGTTGCTTCCTAGGCAGACCTGCTTATTTGGAATCAAATCCAGACTTCTAGATCTGGGTAACTGAGAGCCCGCACTGTTGAAAACAGCAGCCTGCAATAGAATCAGTCTGTGCTGTATTCACAAGATTGCTCTTAGGTTTTTTTCCTTTACCCTCAACAATATCTGGAAGTTCGTATCACGGTTTATTTAGCACAAAGATAAAAAGTAACGAGAAATTCTACAATGAAGTGTTTTAGGCTCCAGCTGCCGACCGCAGTCTTCAAACCCTGCGCCGTGCTTTCCTGGCACGCCGCTTTCAGTGATTCACTGAGAATAATACAAACTTCCCGCAAGCTTGAAAACTGTATACTGAATCCTTGCGTTCCTCCAACAGACAAGAGGATTTGTTGCAGTCGGTAAACCTTATAATGGATGCTCTGAGATCACCAATCCCGAAGCACTGAAGGAGAAAATTGCCTTGATGCAAAGAGGACAGTGCATGTTTGCCGAGAAGGCTCGGAACATCCAAAAAGCCGGGGCCATAGGCGGCATCGTTATCGGCAAGTAAAATTAATTGAAAAATCTGTAGAAAGTTATTGTGGGTGTTTTCTTTTGAAGCAAGCCAAGCATAAATCACGCTCTCAAATGGTTCTAAAGTGAATTCTCGGGTATCTGCTCCAGCCTATTCAATCCGCCTCCTCTGAATGACAACAAGAGAAAATTTTTAGTGGCTCAGTTCAGATGTAATACAAAGCGATGGTCTTGTGCTATTTACACTTAGTTTGTGGCACCAGGATTTGGCTTTCAGGTGATCACTCAGATCCAGGTTTGCTGTGACAAATGCTGTTTCCATGGGTTAATGAACAGGAGCTTAGTTGCATCAGGACAATGGAGAGCAAAAAGGGAGAATATAAATTTTGTAAAATGAAATTTTAAGAACATAAGAGAAGCCAATGTTGGATCAGGGCAATGGTCCATCCAGTCCAACACGGTGGCCCAAAAAATACCAAGGGCCATCAGGAGGTCCAGCAGTGGGGCCAGGACACTAGAAGCCCTCCCACTATTGCCCCCCCCCCAAGCACCAACAATACAGTGCATCACTTGCCCCAGACTGAGAGTTCCTATCTATACCTTGTGGCTAATAGCCACTGATGGACCTCAGGTAGGAAGTTCATCCGGGGGGTGTCTCTGAGGCTTTGCTAGATCTAATACTTTATCTGTACACTTAAGTGTAAAAGAAAAGTAGATTGACAAAGACCGGAAGATCGGTTTTCTTATCTATACCTTGGGTATGTTAAATAGTACTGATTCCAGCCCACCATTCAGCCCACCATTCAGAGCCCCTGCTGGGTTCTGGGGAACTGCTGAAGACTCGCTTAAGCAGTTTCTTCTCCTAGCCCAGCTGGTACTTATGTTCTGTGGTGACCTTTGGAAATGTCCCTCAGTGGCAGAAGAACTTGTGCTGCGCGGCATGGGTCCGGAAGGGGTGGGCTGCCGTTCAGGACAGACAAGTCCTCAAGCTCCCTGGGACTTATGGGAGCGACTTTCACAGCTCATTGGACACTGGCCAATGAAGTATCTAAATGCTAGATCTTCTCTGGGCCTTAAGAGCCAGTTTGGTGTAGTGGTTAAGTGCGCAGACTCTGATCTGGGAGAACTGGGTTTGATTCCCCACTCCTCCACTTGCACCTGCTGGATGACCTTGGGCATGCCGTAGTTCTGATAAGAGCTGTTCTTGAAAAAGAGCAGTTTCTGTCAAGAGCTCTCTCAGCCCCACCCACCTCACAGAGTGTCTGTTGTGGAGGGGAAGGGAAAAGAGTTTGTAAGCTGCTCTGAGACACCTTTGGGTAGTGAAGGGCCATGGGGTATAAATCCAACCTCCTCTTCCTCTTCTTCTTCTCACCTTTAGTTGTGCATTGAGAGTAGGAATGTTCTCAGATTCAGCCGCACCACCATTTGATTATGATTATTCTAGTCTATCAGTTTCATAAACTATATCCACAAAGGGATTCTAGGTTATCAACGAAATAAACCTTGGGTTCTTTTTAAAAGTGGGTAGAACGTTTCTTCCACCTTCTTGTCCAGTCACATGGATTCATGGTTCACGTCGTACTAAATCACTCAAATTCCCCCTCACAAGGCTTTCTTTTAAGGGCACAAAGGGACAGCGGTAGTTGCCAGATTTCTTTCCCTGTGCGGGGCCGAAATGACACTGCTGCTGTTGGCCCGGAAGGAAAGCGCTTAAGTTCCAGGGTTTTTTTGAGGGGTGGGGGGCAGGGATTAAGTGGCTGCTGTGACAAGTTGAGATTTTAACGTGACACCGCTTTACTGAGGTGGCCAGCGGCCAGTCAGGATTCAGTGAGTGAAAGCGACATAAATGATCGGCCCTCTGCTTGTTCCACCCGTGTGCCGATCCAGACGACAACGAGGGAAGCAGCAGCGACACAGCCCCTCTCTTCCAAATGGCCGGAGACGGCAAGAACACGGATGACATCACGATCCCCATGCTGTTTCTGTTCAACAAGGAGGGCAGTATCCTCCTTGACGCCATCCAGGAGTACGAAGCGGTGGAAGTGCTGCTGTCTGATAAAGCGAAGGACAGAGGTAAGGGCAGAGCTGCGTGGCGGGTTTACCGTGTCCCAGCGAGCTCACCATCTAAATTCCGACAGGTGGCAGAAGGAAGGAGGAAAGGAGGAGGGTGATGGGATCTTGTCCCTCCCTCCCTCCCCCCCGGGGAAGCTGCACACGTTGTTGCTGGATTGGGGGGGGGGCGAGGATCACAACATTGACTCCCAGTTCTTACTAGGTCCCAGGAGTGACACGGGGATGAGTTTGGGGTAGTGTCGGAATGTCAGATATTGGACCGCCACACCCACCCGCACCAGTTTTTCTGTGGCATTCCAGGGGCTCATGTTACAGAAGCAACTACCTGGATTGCAATGGAGAAATGTCCTGGGGTTGGGGGGCCCAGAGAGGTAGCACGCACATGCTGACAGGAGACTTCTCAACTCAGAAAGTTGTGGGCCATAATGGAACCGAGCACTGTGTATCTGTGCCAAAGCCAATGCTCCCTCTACGCTGTGGAGTCTTATGAGCAAAAATCCTACTTTGTGAGCTACTGGCATTAAAGTTGTGAGCGAGCCATTTGGCTGCTGCAGAAATTAGTTTGCTCTGGAGCCCTCCTTCCTGAACGAAGACAAAAGTGTGTGAGCCAGAAGCTAAAAATCTGTGAGCTAGCTCACATTAACTCAGCTTAGAGTGGCCAAAGCCCTGACTACTCTCGGTGCCCAGCAGATGAGTGGGTGGGGGACCATGATGACCATGTACGAAAGGCTGGATGTGCCTTTGGAAGGGTGCAGTGGGTAGAAGTTGCTTCCTCATCGGTCTGTGGCTGAATCGGATCCTTTCCTCCTCTGTTTTGCATGGATTTTGAGACCTGTGCCATTGGTTTTATTGACTGCTCTTCCATCTGGAGAGAGTCTGCTTTGACATTTCCGTTTAATACTGTGCTGTCATTTTGAACTAACATACCGTAGGAATCCTGCAGCTTGATCTGAGCCTCTTGAGGGAATCTTTGAACTAGGTCAGCAGTCTACACAGCTGTAGCGCTACGAATTTCTCCCTCCCTGGGGAAGGGGCTCTCTTTGTTGCAGACGTGGGGAGGGGGCCGCGGATCATAACATTAGCTCCCAGGTCTTACTAGGTCCCAGGAGCAAGGGTGGGGGGGGGGGGAGTGTTGTAATGTGCCTAATGCTCACGTAACAACAAAAACCGTAGTAAGAATGTGTTGGTTTCCAGACAAGCTCTTCTAATGTCATCCTCCCTTTTGTCTTTGGGGAAATTGAGATAACGTTAATTCTGGAGCTGTTAAACATGGCATAAGGGTGAGCATTTTAAATGCCTACACTGTGCAAGTATATGCGGTTAAATCTCTCCCATGGAAATTATTGGAATGGAGAACTGCTTAACTTCAGCTGGGCTGCATCTCCACTCCCACGTCAAGTTGTTGAAAATCCTGCCAAGAGAGAAGCTGTTCTTGGTCAGGGTTGAGAGACGGCGTTCTTGAATTTGGCTCTCCCCGTGGCACAAGAGCGTTCCCTAGGCGGTGAATTGTCTCATTCTGCCATAGCTTTTCAAAATGTTACTTCCTAACAGAATTACTGTGTTAATTAATTACCAATGTAAGCTAGTGGGCCTGTGGATTTAAAATGCATATGTGCTTTTTCCCTTCTCCCCGTGCTACCGTTGGGATACCAGCAACTATATTTAAAGATAAAATGATTCCAAACTACATTCTTGATAGCAGTAAGTATCAGATAGATCTATATACCTTTGCCAAGAATTCTTTTTAAAACTGTCCTCATACTGGTATGTTTTCCTTTACAATACTGAACTTGGATTCAAATAAATCAGAATGGCATGTTAAACTCTTATGCCCAGTTTTGTGTTAATGCAGGAGAGGTACATAGGGCAGAGGGTGTTATGAAACTGCGCATTTCAGGAAAGCCTGGAGACCCTTGGAAGCTTTTTAAAGTTACTCAAGAAGATCAGTAAGCGGCTGTGAAGGCTCCCTGTAATTCCAGAGTTGTCTTACACCAAGAGTCCTGTGGTACTTGGAAGCCTAAACACACTTTTATTCAAGCACTCAGCTTTCACGGACTGCTTCAGAGGCAATGAAGCTTACGCTGGAATAAAATTGTGTTGGCCTCTGAAGTGCCACAAGGCCTCTGTTTATGTTTACCAGAGACTTCCCGTTAAACAGTTGCCCATCTTCTTCCACAATTTGCATCCATTTGCATCTCCACAATTTGCATCTACAATTTGTATGGTGGACGATTTGAAGGTGTACTCTTAGTTAGTGGGGGAGAGTCGCTCGACCCCAGATCAGTGATAGGAAACTTTTCTTGGTCCAAGGATGGTTGACCTGTGAAGGCGTTGGTGTGTTGTTAACAGTGGGGGGGGGGGGCAGGGGACACAAGGGTTGGCCTCGACCTTTGCGGCGAGCCACACCCAAGCATTATCTCAGGGATTCAGCTGGTGCTTATGAAGGTTTAGGAGGCGATGACGGGCGTAAGCCGCGGCTGTTGTCTTCTCCCTTACCACGGACCCCAGAAGGGCTGCCAGCAGTACCTCAGCCTCTTGGGCATAGATTTGGCCCTGAGATCCATGAGAAATCATCCGGTGGGCTACTGTTGTTGTGTGTGTGTGTGTGTGTCGGGGTGCGCTTGTTCCTGCCCTAGGCAGAGCATGCTACAGGGTCCTCTGTAATACATGGGCGTCCCTCAGCAGACCATCAAAGCTGCTCACGGGAAACTTAAACGCTGCTGGCCTCCGCTTACAGGTAAAACCTTGCACTGGGCGGCTCTGCTTTTGAGAGAATTTCTGTAGGTTTACAAAAGATTGACATTTCTGTTGAAGTATAAATGCTCAGAATATTAAAAAAAGAATCGACAGTTAGACATTCAGGCCTACTGGGTGCCCAGACACTAGGGCATTCCCCAAGCACGTAACAGTGATCTAGAGGCCATGGGTTTTGTATTTATTTTCTTTGTAACATTTCCCCTCAAATTGTAGTGTCTTCCTAAACCTGTTTACTAAACGTTTTAGTTGGGACAGCTACGTTCTATCTGATACTGTAGAAATGTGGGGAAAATGATGTGTGGTTCCCCCTTCTCTTTAAGATTTGGAAATGGAGAGCATGGATCAAAAGTCGCCTGAGAACGATTCCCATAACCAGAGGTCAGAAGAAATCGCAACAGATCTGAACTTGGGCAGTCACCGTTCTGAAGAAGGAGGTGGCTTGAATCCGCCTACAGAGTCGAGTGGAAATGGTTTTTCTTTTGAGAACCAGGACTCCTGTGTCCCCAACCCCCAGGAAGCCAGCAGCAGTCAAATTTCAGAACTAGAGGAGTACCCTGAGGACCAATCAAAGACAGAGTCAGACTCCAGTCCCAGTAATAACTGGGATAATAAAGGCCAGTCCATGGAATCAATATTAGCAGATTGGAATGAAGACATAGAAGCCTTTGAAATGATGGAAAAAGATGAACTATAACTTCAAATAACTTTATCGTGGGACTATACAACAGTGAACTCCGGAGGACAGTAGGGCCCTAATATCTGTGGGGGGGGAGAAATGAAAGAATTGTTCAGTATTGTGATATGCAGCCAGGTTTTATTGGCAAAAGCCAGCATGTGTTAATTTGTATTTTTTAATTTTTTTCCTGTTTTTTTTTTTTTTAATGGGAATGTGCAATTGACCCATTTTGCAGGGTTCCTTTGCATGGTGCTGTAATGCAGGAGGTTCATTCAGGGAATGATTCGGTTTCCTCCTGGGTTCCAGGTTGCTGCGAGTTAGCTTGCCTTAGCCACAGAAGGCAAAGAATCAGTGCAATGGAATTAATGTGCCCCTGGGTCTGGAACGGCTAGTTGAGGGCGGCACGACATCCTGGCACCGGAGAGCCACAGGCTGGCTGCTGGGAAGATGCCATTGCAAGGGGGGGGGTGTCAACGCTGTATCTCCATTAGAACCTTTGTGGATACCTGGGCGTGGGTACTTCAGGGGGTTGTGCCTTTTAATTACAAGGGCAGAACAACAGGCAACTGCGATTTGCCCCGTGCCACTTAGTATGGCAAGTGTGCTGTACCGGTTTTATTACTTCTTCCATTTGTTACTTTGAGAAACGACCAAGACGGCTTGGAATTTTTATTTTTTATTTTTAGTTCCTAGTACAAGTCAAGACAGCCTAGAAACCAAAGGTAATGAGCTCAGTTAGCAAAAAGGAAATTCACAGATAATTCTGAGACGAATCTGGGTAATGGGGCCTCTTTCCTCCCCCCCCCTTGATTTTGGAATGTCCACGGTAAAAGCTAAATATCAGCCAAAATTAACATCCTTGCTGAGTTCTAGAAAGATTTAGTCTATCGGTTAGTGTTTAGGACAGAATAACGTTCACCTGGTTTGCCATTTTTTTCTTAACTTAGCTTTGTATCCACACCACTCCTGCTACTGTACATAATGTGTCATTCACCCCCCTCCCCCCCCCCAGCAAGAAGGCCAGTATCTTGGTAGCAGTCTGACCGGGAAGCAGCGGGTCCATGGTGTGGCGTGACTCCCTAGGACAGGCTGGGATGTTATCGATTCTTTTAGAGCCGCAGTCGCTTTCGGTGGGACAGCAATCATGTTTCACAAATGTCTTATTTAAAATTAGGATACTTTTAAAAGCCCAACTGTAGCAGCGACAATTACCACCACCACAACCAAAAAAGCAAACGGCGTTAATGCAGTTGCATCTCTTGCAAGACTGCCAGACACTATTTACATCCAGTCTTAATTGTTTTCATTTTGGTAGTTTTAAGCTTCTTTCTGCTGAGCGAATGCGTTTGCACGTTTTGCTTTAGAAAACCAACTCGGCTGCGCCAGAATCCACCACTTTAAATATAGCTGGTGCTTAGTGGGAAGTTAGCCTTATGAGAGGTGGTGTATAAGCAGAGAGAAGGCCTCCATCATTGCAAGGACCTGTCAGGGCAATTTCACGCCGCTACATGATCCTTGCTAGAAGAGGAGCAGCTTGAGAGGACAGTAATGGCATCTTCCAATGTAGTGCTTTACTTCCCCTGAAAAGTGGACGGCAACCAGGGACTGGTATGAAAGGAAGCAAGCTGGGCAGCCCGGGAGAAGGGGGCCGAATCTGCGCTTTGCTGTCCGTCCCGAGTGGACCCACGGGCTGGGGTACGGGATGACTTTTACATCCTCCTTGTCTGTATCCTAGGTTGTGGATGTTTGGTCACACTTGTATGTGTTAGGCTTTTATGTTTGAGATTTTTTTTCCCCCCCTTTAGGTTTGCAGACTGAAGGACATCCGGTTGTTTTGCTGGCAAACACTTATCAGTTACACATACTTGTAATCTAAGACAGGTTCTAACATAGAAAGGAATGGGTGCGCAAAGCATACTTTCAAATGTACAGGCACTTCTCTGAGAGCATAACCAGGCAGCTGAAGAGGCTCTTTTACAGATGTTGGTGAATCTTGGAGGACTAGTGAATAAGTGTCCCAATCCCCCCCCCCCAAGAATTTTCATTTTTTTTTTTTTTTTTTTTTTGCACACATGTTAGAGCTGGGAGATTCGTTATTGGTGAATTATCCAGCACTGAATTATGTTCATGCTTGATTTTTATAGGGTGAGATTCCTTCAGGGAATTTGGGTAGAGGCCTCTCTCTAAAGTGTCCTTTATTAATTTGGACCCAGATCTTGAGGGGTAGGGGTGTGTGTGTGTGTGTGTGTGTGTGTGTATGTTTTGGCCACGTGTCTGCAATGAGGTTGAGCCTATAAAACACAGCCTATTTGAGTTAGACTTGTAAAAAGCAAATGGGGTTCCTTCATGTCAAAGGGCTAGGGCCACTAGTGGAAGGAGAAATGTTTAATGGTAATCTAAGCCATTTCACTCCATCAAGGCACTATTTTTTTTCCCTTGTTGTGTAGTTAAAAATTGCTTAATTGGTGTATCTGGTTAAAGTGACTCTCTGGTCATTACATCTTCGCAAAGCATTTTGGACAGAATTAAACCTTCACGGAGCAACTGCTGAAGATTTTGTTCTTCCGACATATAAATTAATAGTTTTGCACTACCTGCTACTACTCGGTTATAGTCCATAACCTAAAAATCCATATTATACATTTGACTTTAAATATTTGCGGAATGATCTATATTTTCCTCATGGATCCAGGGATGCTTTGAGAGGAGTATCTGAAAGGTGGTGGTCTACCTCAGATATAGGTTGCCCTTTTTATATCTTAGTTGAAGTTCTTCATCACAGCCATAAGCACGTTTTGATGATGACAAGAGGTTTACATTTGTATCAACTGGATTTGGAAACTGGTTTTTTGGAGACAGGTTACCTACTTATGAGTTAATAGTTTCATATCGCAATGGAAGCCCTCCTCCGGATAAGCATTCCTGAACCTGGCGGGAGAGGCCCATACATGACCTCAGCCTCATGGAGAAAGAACGGTAGGAGCTGGCACAGTAACAGGTTGATCTCTGGCCAGGATTTCTCTGTTGTTCTATCTGAATTCCTCCTATAATTGGGAGACAAATAGCAGGCTTGGAAGGAGAGCTGGGTAGAGATTACCCTTTCCACCAGGACAATGGAGGAAACATTCTGTGAATGCCTATACCATACATCCAGATTTTATAAGACTTTTTACCAGCCCAACTTACAGCTGTCTATTTTCTTATGATGTAATTTATGAAAAATGTAATAAGGGGTGCTGTTGTTGGGTTTTAGCGTCTGTTGATTTTAAATGTGTACAATACTTCTAAGGGCAACTGTGTACTGTGATGTAAAAGTGTGGGCTAAAAATGTACATAGTCCTTTGTACATAAAATTGTGAACTTGATTATAATTGCTGATTGTAAAGATTTAATAAAATGTGTAAATATTCTGGTCAAAATGCTGACTTGATTTGTGTGTTGCGTGTGAACCCCAGGAAAGTTCCCTGGGTGCTCAGTTACCTGAAGTGTTTCCACCTATATGTATCCATAGCAGAACCAGAGTTAAAAATCCATCTTTCTTTTTTTTAAAAAAGCATTAAGATTGAGATAAAAATCATTACTCTCAGAGCATTCACACTTGCTTTTCCCGTCAAGAGCTTTTTTCTCCATTTTCCAACAATGAGAGAAGGCATCCTTCTTCCCTGGCCTGTCCATCCCATCTCCATCGCCACTGGTCTGAATGTGCGTGCAGAACATCCAAAGCAAGTACTAAAGAACAGCCTCCTCTAGACTATGGTAAGCAAATGGCAAGAAGGTAGAAAGGAGCACGGATTTCTGTTTGAGGCTCTAGAGGAAGAGCAGAGCTTCTGCTCAAGACACCCAAATTGATTTATTTCCTACCTTGTGTCCATTCTTGAGTAGTTCATCTGGCTCCCAAAACAATTAAAAATCTCTTGGATCTATACATATTTAAATTGAAACTGCAATTTTAAAACGGGCTTTTTAAGGGCTCTGTGGCTTTTAAGAAGTTTGTCTAGATTTTAACTGGGATGTAAAAGGCCTCCTTGGGTATGCCCACACTAGTTGGGTTTGTTTGTCATTATTGTAGCCATGAATGGCTTATGAATGAGGCTACAATTCATTCCAGAACCTGACCTACACTGAAAACAAGTGTAGAGTTGTTAACACTTAATTTCCTGTAAGAACACTTGTTGATGGAAACCATTTCTCTTCTTCAGAGCCATTCATTAATTTTACAGACTATTGACACAATGAAATTCTCTGCTTCAGTCTCAGGGTGACAGACGCTCATGACAGGGAGGTACAACCTGAATGAGTGCCGCAGGATGTACTCTAGTCAGGAGTGAGCCCACAAAAGACAGAGGTGTATATGTTGCAGAAAGCTCTCCTGTCCTAGGATCCCATGACCGTCATTTGTTCTAGAACAAGTCTGAGAGACAGATGTTTTGGTTGATATCACAGTTGTTTTAAGCCATGCTCCATTCTGTTGGGCTTTACCTGTGGACACAGAAATATAACAAGAGGGTCTAAGCTTTATTCTGTTTTATTATTTACAGGCGACCAGAAGCAAAGGTAGACCTGAATACCCTAGCTGCTGGCAGGGTGCGTGTATGTTCTCTCATAGATCTCCCAGTGGAAGAAATACAGAAATGGCAGAAGGCTAGTGGGAAGTTCAGTTTTTAAAGGTAAAGGTAAAGGTTCCCTTGCTCAAAAGCCAGTCGAATCCGACTCTAGGGTTGCGGTGCTCATCTCCGTTTCAAAGCCGAAGAGCCAGCGCTGTCCGAAGACGTTTCTGTGGTCATGTGGCCGGCATGACTGAACACCAAGGCGCACGGAACGCTGTTACCTTCCCACTGAAGTGGTCCCTATTTATCTACTTGCAATTTCTTGCTTTCAAACTGCTAGGTTGGCAGGAGCTGGAACTAGAGACGGCAGCTCACTCCGTCTTGCGGCACCCGGGTCTTGAACTGCTGAACTACTGACCTTCCACAGCCTGCAGTTCAGCGTCTTAACCACTTGAGCCACCGCAGCTCCTGCTCAGTTTTTAATAACAGTCTAAAACTGGGCTCCAGGATTTCAGCAAAGAATGGGTGATGGAATGTGACAAACACTGGGGTGTATGTTCATTTTAAAGCTTAAAGGCTACAGAGTGGAAATTTACAAAACGTGATGATTGTGTTGTTGGATAGATGCTTATAATTTCTGAGGTCCCCCCCCCAAAAAAGGGGGGGGAACAAAATTATGTTCAGTTAAGGATACCCAAGTCCTCCTGAAGCACAGGCCCAACAGGTTTTGACTGGGGTTTAGGCAACAAAAACACCTGAGTCAGGGCTGCTTCAAAGTCTTTTACTGCCCCCAAGCAAAGCACACCTGTTCCCTGCTAGGCCTGTCCTGCCTTTGGATGGGGGTCAAGGCTTCACCTGGGTTTGGTTGCCTTGGCTGCTGGGGCCTGGGTGTGAGCGGAGATCCCGTTGTTCCTTGGCACCCTTCTTATCACATTATCCCAACTTGGTTGGCTTGGCCGGAGAACCAGCCCTGTTGTTTTTGAAAGGATTTGAAGAAGAAATACTTAGGGCAGTTCTTATCTTATAAATTTCATCTTTCACGGTGTCTAATTCAAATGTTACTATTATAGATAACAAGATCACGTTATTAGTAGCAAAAAAAAAATCAGCAGTAATTAAGTGCCAAGGGGGAATAATATGGGGTTGTGAAACTGCTTGTGGCCAGTTGCCCATTAAAGCGATATCATCTAAGTAAGTAAGGCCCTTCCTGCCCACACAGCTTACTGCAGAGAATCCAAGCAGTTGAGTCTGTAAGCTTGACTTTGGATTTGTGTGCCTGCCCTCTGCACCGTTCTTTTTTCTCTAGTGTATTCTGTGGCATTTATGCTGCACCTACAACCAAAAAACAGTTTTTCTTAATTCGGAGGGGGTGGCATCCAATGTTTTTTTTTAATTTAAAACAAGGAGGCGCCATTGTAATGCTACACTTCTGTAGACTGCAAAAATGGTCCCCCCCCCAAATTGTCCGCTAAAGTGATACACAGAGAAAAATGTTTTCAAAGCTTTACCATCCCAGTGTCTCTTTGTCTTTATGTCAATTTCCATGCTGAGGACCCCCCTTTATTTTGTTTGTCCATCCCTATTAAACTGCTTGTGCCCACCACTGCTGCCTCCTGCCACCAACTTGGGAGGCTTCTTAGGCACCAGCACCACCGCTCTGTGCCCCAGGTAGCCATTGCCACTGTGCACTGGTGAGGCAGTGATAGGAGGAACAGTAGGGCTTGGCAGCTGCCTGCTGAGGGCACCTGGGCTGGGGGTGCCATGCAGGCGGTGGAGGCAACCTGGAGCTTCTGGGCGGCTTCCAAGAGTGTGGGGTGGGGCTCAGCTTTTGCCCCTTCCCTCTCATGTGAGGCACTCAGAGTAGCCCTTACCTTATCAAGGGAAGCAGCAGTAGGAGGAGCGAGGCCATCTCTGGAGGCACTGCTGCTGCCAGCCGCAACACCATGGGGGAGGCAAGGTGGGGAGTGGGAGCAGCCGCTGTGAAGCTCACTTTTATTTGGCCAAGATGTAGTGGATTCTCTCTGTTGTGTGCTCAGCAACTCTGACTAATGGAAGCACAGTAGCTGATAACATTGCTTGCTGCAGCCAGAGAAGCATGTCTTTCCCCTTCCATTTTAATCTTAGGCTTAAGACTGCCAGAATGGTCCCCCCCCCAAAAAAAAACATTGTTCACTGACACATTAAAGGAAAAAATTATTCAAAAGCTCTAGGCTTCCCTTCCCAGTGTCTGTCTCTCTTTACATGTCTTGTCAATACCCCCCACCTTTATTTGGCTTGCATTTAGTACTGAAATCTCCCTTTTTTTGCACTGGGGATGCTTCCATTTGCCTGCTCTCCAATCCTCCTTTTAAATCAGTACAAATGGGGAACTAAATCTTGCACAGCTCCTTGTAAACTTTCCCCCATCATTTAAAGTTTCCCCCCCCTCTTCGGTCTTGGTCTAGAAGAAGAAGAGATGAGAAGAGATTGGATTTATACCCTCCCCTTCACTTGGAGTCTCAGAGCGG